TGGAGCATGTTAATGTTGAATTGCTTACCCTAGATGAAGTCGAAGAGGACGCAGAAGATGTTGTCGAAGAGAAGGAGATTTATAATGACTACCTGCTAGCAAGAGACAGGTCGAGGAGATTCATCAAGCCACCTCAGAGACTTGGGTATGCAGATCTTATAGCTTATGCCTTAATCTCTGCTAGTGAGGTTCTAGATGAAGAACCTAGAAACTATAAGGAAGTTATGAGGAGTCGAAAGAAGACTGAATGGCTGAAGGCCATGGATGATGACATGAAATCTCTTCATGATAACAACACCTGGGAACTGATCAAGAAACCTACTGGAGCCAGGTTAGTCAGCTGTAAATGGATTTTCAAAGTTAAGAAAGGAATCGAAGGAGTGATGTCGAAGAGATACAAGGCAAGATTGGTTGCTAGGGGGTTCACTTAGAAAGAAGGTATCGACTTAAATGATGTGTTCTCTCCTGTTGTGAAACACAGATCCATTCGAATGTTGCTTGCCATGGTGGCCCAGTTCGACCTTGAACTGGAACAGATGGATGTGAAGATTGCGTTCTTGTATGGTGATCTAGATGAAACAGTCCTGATGAGGCAGCTTGAAGGGTATGTCGAAAGGGGGAAGGAAGATTATGTGTGCAAATTGAATAGATCTTTATATAGACTGAAACAATCTCCTCGACAGTGGAATAGGAGATTCGACAAGTTCATGGCACACATAAGTTTCATCAGAAGCCAACTCGACCAATGTGTTTACTTCAGATTTCGACCGGGTAATTCATTTGTTATTTTGTTACTCTATGTGGATGATATTCTAATAGCAAGCAACAATGTCGGAGAGGTAATGAGGGTGAAGGCTGAACTCAATAAAGAGTTTGACATGAAGGATCTGGGAGCTGCGTCTAGGATTCTTGGGATTGACATCCGGAGAGATAGAAAGCATTCAAAATTATGCTTATCTCAAGAGGGATACCTACAGAAGATTCTCGAAAAGTTTGGTATGTCGAATTAAAAGCCTGTTGTGACTCCGACAAACCCTTAATTTAAGTTGAGTATAGATCAGTGTCCCAGCACTGATGTTGAAAGAACTTATACGAATAACATTCAATATGCTAACATAGTAGGTTCTTTGATGTATGTTATGGTTTGTACTAGACCCGACATAGCATATGCAGTAAGTCTTCTAAGCAAGTACATGGCGAATCCTGGAAAGGCTCATTGGCAAGCATTAAAGTGGATTTTAAGGTACATAAATGGGTCTCTGAATAGAGTCCTAATTTATGGTGGAGCCTTGGGTGAAGATAGTAAAGCAGCAATCGAAGGATATGTCGACTCTGATTATGCAGGTTGTATGAATTCTAGAAAATCTATCTCTGGATATGTGTTCACCATGTTTGGGACAGCAATCAGTTGGAAAGCAACACTTCAGAAGGTCGTTGCCTTATCAACCACTGAAGCGGAGTATATTGCCCTAACTGAAACTGGGAAGGAAGCATTGTGGCTTAAAGGTTTTGCAATGGAGCTAAAACTTCAAGGTTGAGTTATCACTGTTAAATGTGATAGTCAAAGTGCAATACACCTGTCAAAGAATTCAGCCTATCATGAGTGAACCAAGCACATTGATGTGAGGCTGCATTTCATCAGAGGGGTAATCGAGTGTGGAGAAGTCCAAGTGCTGAAGGTTTCAACAGATCATAATGCTGCTGATATGATCACCAAGACGTTGTCCAGTTGCAAGTTTTTCCACTGTATGCAGTTAATAAAGTTGCATGAAGAAAGCTAGTTTCTTGATGTTATAGAGTTAGATCCAAGGTGGAGATTTGTGAGATGTTGGATCGAACTCTAGTATGGCCGAATTATGTTCGCGAGTAATACATGTTGTAGTCAAAGCCTGTTCTAACATGCATTAGTTAATATTGCTAGGGTTGTTAGCATGTTGAATTGGGCTTGCTTGTAAGCCCAATTGTTTAAGTTAGCTTGTACCCTAAGTTAGCTTGTAATGGGTAATTGTTAAAAAGCCCATTAGGTTAGTGTGCTATTTTATTATAAATAGGATGCTAGTTTCTCAATCTTGGTATAAAGAAAAATAGGAAGATAAAATCCTAATTTCAAGAGAGAGGAGTTATTTTGTTATTCTTGTATACTTGTAATCTTGTTCTAAGAGAAAGGAAAGAATAGCAGTTTAATAATCAATCCTTGTTGTTTTCTTCTTTATTAACCCTAACCCTTGTGTGTTTCTTGCTAAGAAATCGTTTATACTTTGTTTAAAGGTATCTGATTCACAACAACTTGGAAACAGACAAAAAGTTAGATTGAATTTTAGGCACACATAAGACTTGTTTAAGCTGAAGAGGTTTGACAAAAGTATTAATAATAGAGTTACCAGTGTGAGTAATTTTCAAACCTGTTCCATCACAAACAATCACCCGGTCTGCTCCAGGATAGGAATTTGTTAAAGTGAGTTGTTGGAGGTCTTGAGCAATATGATTCGATGCTCCAGTATCCATGATCCAGTTATGATGTTGTGTTGCAGCCTGATTTTATGCAAAGTTCGTTGTTGGTTTAGGGTCATTTCGTTTTGGAAATCCCTTTATTTTGTAGCAAGTTTTAGCAGTGTGACCAGCCTTGTCACAAAACTGACAGACCACCTTATTTTCTCCATTTTGTAGAATTGGAGAAGAGCTATGGTTGTTGTGGTTTTTGTTGTGATAGTTGTTTCTTGTGGGTGCATTGGCAGTTGCAATCACATTATCAACTGCTAGTGGATCAGTTTGGTGATGAATTGTTTCAAAATCTATCAGTTTCTCATGAAGTTCAGCAAAGGCAATTGGACTTTCTCTGCTTCTGAGTGCAGCGGAAATTTCACGATACTCAACACTCAAACCATTGAGAGTGTGAAACAAGGTCAGTTTCATCCAAAGGATGATCAATGATTGAGAGTTCATCTGAAATTTCCTTTATTCCTTGAAGATATGTAGCCATCGATTGATTTCCTTTTTTGAAATTGGAAATCCGTTGTTTTAGTGCGATAATACGTACTCTTGAGCGGCCAGCATACATGGTTTTTAGGATCTCCCATTCTTGATTGGAACTTTTGACTGTTCTTAAGTGTGTGACTACGATTGCAGCCACCGAAGATACGATACCATGTAGAATCAATTGATCTTGTCGAACCTAATGAGGGAAGGCTGGATTGACAACCATTGTATTGTTCTCGAGCTGTTTTGATGGACAAGGCTTAGTTCCATCAATATAACCTAGAAGATCATAGTCTGTTAAAAGAGGCATGAATTGGATTCTCCAGACAGGGTAATTGTCTCCGTCGAGTTTGATGGAGAGTTGAGATCCAGCATTCAAGATGATAAGTTTGTCTACCAGCGATGACACAGTTGATGTCGTTTCAGGTTCAGAATGGGAAGACATAGCAAGGATCATAAGAAAAAAATTGCTTTTAAGCTTTTACCTCTAAAACCATAAAGAGAATGATATTCAAATATATTACTCTAGCCATAAATGTTGACTATTTATAGATACAAATGATACTTGATTGTATAATTAATTCCTAATCTCAAGGGATCCCTTCTGCTTATTCATAACATTAAGGCCTGAATGATTCAAACTATAACAACTCATATGCACAGTAATACGAATGGTTTGTTACACCTTAATTATAAGAACAACCTATAATTATTTATTATTACTTGGAAGATTCACCATACCTTGCAACTTAGGAGATGCATTTTGTGGCAAGGAATTATGTAGTCTTTGAGCAAGTATTAATCTAATGCCTTTATCTATCTTCAAAAATTTTGGAATTGAAGCTGCAAGGACAACAACTATTACACTTCAGTTAGCTAATAGGAATATTTGTTATCTTCATGAAAGATCGAAGATGTGTTGGTAAGAGTGGATAAATTTGTATTTTCTATTTAGTATATTATCATGGACTTTAGTGCTGATGAAGATACACATCATTCTCTTAATAGATGTGATAAAGGGTGAGTTTACCATTAGATTTTGTGGACAAGAAATGGTATTTATTGTCCTTGGTGCATTAAAATACCCAAAATACATTGTTGATTGTTCAATAATTTTTAGTTGGGATTATCTGATTCATAAATAGCTCATTAAGAGTAAGGATGAGTTAGATAAAGAATAAGGTGAGATAGAAAAGAAATAATTGGTGCAGGAACATATTATGACTGATTCCTTACTTCCAAATGAGAGACACACTTTGAAACTTTGGAATCATAACTGAAGTGGATGAAAACATTGTGCCCTCCATAGAAAAACCATTTAAATTGGAGTTGATGAAGACCCATTTTATCTACTTCCTTGAAAATTTTAATTCAAAAGCACATTGTTTTATAATCATTAATTTATTTTATCATGATTCATGAAAGAGATGTTGAGTATTTTATCTTGTGGGATTGAATGTTTTAATGAAATCAATGTCAAGAGTACATTTATTTATTAAAACATTCACAATTATTAGAGTTTGGCCTAATACAACCTTATAATGCTCTATCTCCAACAAATGTGGGACTGCCCAAGGTCCTATCGATAGGATTTGATATCATATTAGAGTTTGACCTAACACAACCTTATAAAACCGGTTTGTAAGGTGACGGTGTCACTCTATATAAACTATTTCAATACTCTATCTCCAACCAATGTGGGACTTTAGAATTTTCAACCAATGCAGGACTTTAGATCTTCCGAATAATAATGAATTAAAGTACATTGAATTAAAATACTCCATATAGTATAAAATAAAATAATCCTAGAGTACAATGATTTCATTAAAACATTGATCAATGGACCACAATCCCACATGAGTCTAGTTTGGCCAAAATCTAATCAATGATTGAAGCTTTGTTTATTGAAAGGACATAGTATGATTAAAAAAATAAGAATGCAAATTTGAGGGAGATCTTTTTTTAAGAGAGATGTAGAGTGCCATACTTTGGCCTTAATGTTAATAACTTTCCTGTAGTTTGAAATGGTTATCTTTTTCCAATTTTTGTTACTAATTTTGATTACTTTGATCGTATCTACTTGTGTTTTCCACAAAAGAAAACAAGTTAGTACAAAAAACTTGCCACCAGGTACTTTTGGTTGCCCATTAATTGGTGAAACTTACCAATTTTTGTTCAACAACATTGAGAATTTTCTTCAAGAGAGAGCAAAAAAGTACTCATCAGAGATTTTCAAAACAAGGCTATTTGGAGAACCAACCATGGTTATGTTTGGTCCTAGTGCTAACAAATTCATGTCAATGAATGAATCAAAACTTTTCAAAGTTTGGTACTTGAAAACTCAGTGCAAGTTATTCAATCTTCCCGATCAGAATCAGAATCAGAATCAAGCCCAAGTAGTTGTAGCTTCTGCTCCGGTGAAAATCTTGGGGTTTCTTAAGCCTGAAGGAATAGTTAAATACATGAAGAACAACAACAGAATTGAATCAATCATACACAAACATTTCATGACACATTGGGAAGGAAAAACCGAACTAAAAGTGTACCCTTTGGTGAAATCATTTTCAATTTCACTAGCTTTTCAATTCTTCTTAGGAATCGACGAGCCTAATTACGTAGCAAAATTTGCAACCGAGTTTGAGAACTTGTATTCTGGGATTTATTCAGTTCCTGTGAATTTTCCTGGCTCTACATATCATAGAGCAATGAAGAGTGCAACTAAAATTAGGAAAGAGATTCAGTTTTTGATTAAAGACAAGATTGAAGGTTTGTCAAATGGAAAAGTTATGGATGATTTATTAGCACATATAGTTGATGCTGAGATGAGTGGAAAATATGTTCCAAAAATTGAAATAAGTAATATCATCATGGGGTTGATGAATTCTAGTTATATCTCAATAGCAATCACTTTGGCTTTCATGATCAAACACATTGGATTGAGGCATGATATCTACCAAAGAGTTCTATCAGGTATGTAAAATAGAAATCATATCATAAATAATATTTTGTAACTTAGCCAACATAAGGACCTCGCTGGCGAGTAATCTGTAAGTACTTCTGTAAACACTATCTGATCTTTGAGGTCTGTTCTGATACTGACGAGCGGAAAGTTTTATTTGAATTAGAGCATTTTGAGGTTAAAAGATCATCAAAAGGAAGTGGTACATCAGTGCTAGATTGGGAGAGCATACAGAAGCTGAAATATACATGGGCTGTTGCACAAGAAACCATGAGACTATACTCAGCTGCACCAGGAGCATTCAGAGAGGCGAAAACAGATATCATCTATGAAGGCTTTACAATTCCAAAGGGTTGGAAGGTAACTTACGAAGTTTTACACTGTCAACCTATCACAGTCAGTTATATGTCTGGCTTATGATTACTACTTTGTTGATTGACCTGATTTAGTATTATATTTGCTACTAGAATGTTTATGAACTTTACTTTCACAGATATTTTGGGCGTTTCTTGGAACAAATAAGAATCCGAAATGCTTTGATGAGCCGGAAAGTTTTGATCCTTCAAGATTTGAAGGGAATAATGTTCATGCACCATACAGTTATGTACCCTTTGGAGCAGGACCAAGATCTTGTCCTGGAAAGGACTATACGCGGTTTGCGATTCTCACATTCATTCACAATCTTGTGACAAAGTTCAAATGGGAAGTTATAACTCCTGATGAGAAAGTGTCTGGTGCTTTGATACCTATCCCTGTTGAGGGAGTTCCTATCCGTCTTTATAAATTGTAACTTTTCATGTGGATATTAAGTATGTATGTTTGGTTCTGCACTGAAAATAATGAATGTATATGACAGAGTTAGAAAAAATTGTACAAGTAATTGTGTCATGAAATGTAAGGTAATGAAATGAATTCAACATGTACATCGCATTGTGTCAAAGATCTAACTATTTTGCAACTCTTTAGGAAGATACTTAAACTCTCTCTCTTCAAATTATAAAGTTAAATTTTTACTATTAAAAGAACACTTCATGTTTAATCTTTAATCAAATCACACGTGTCTTTGGTCCCTATTAACATCAAGAAGAAAAAAAAACCTCAAGTAAGATTAGAAATGAGTCGAGATGAGTTAAATTTAATTTGGCTAAATTCGATAAAAATTAGATAATCTTAAAACTCAACTTTAGTTTGTCACGATTTTTTTCAATTTAAATTTAGTTTGATTAAAGATTATAAACAACTCAATTTGATTTGGTAGCTCAAATGGGAATTTTTTAATGCACTCTAGATAGTTTTTAGGCACTCATAAAATTATTTAAATGTCCCTAAATTTTGGAGATACATTTCCGAACACATATATTTCTGAATAAACGTTAATATATTTCGAAAATACATTATTATGAATGAGAGGGGCAAAGAAGTTACAGTAACTTATTCACATGATAAGAAATGACAGGTGGCAATTGATCCATAATGTAAGGATCCAAGACGTGAAACGGGGCCGAGATCCCTAACAAAAAATACACTTAGCACTTTGTTAAATAGGACAATAATTAGTAATGATTGGGGAGGAATCTTAGTGGAAACCTGACTCTCTTCTCTCTTCAAGCTTCTACGTTTTTCTATATATGTCATTAAATTACTTTTTTCCTTACTGTGAATGGCTTAGCCATATATACTCTTAATTTCAAGTTGCAATGATGCATTGAATTAGTTATACCATTTACAGTGTCAATTCTACTTTTGTATTCCGGGAATGGATTTATTATCTTTGAGTTTCCATGCCTTTGCTACCTTTGTCTTTATCTCTCTCTAACCAACCATACTCTCACACTAAAATAGTTTACTTTATTTATTTATTTTTAACCACTTTACACTGAAGGTACCAAAGGTACTGTTTTGGACTGGGCCGAGACCTGCCCCTCAGTCGGGCAGGCCCAATCCAATGTTATGCTGATGAGGCCTAATAAGGCTCAATCCTCCTCCGTCGGGCACAGACCTCAACCAGACACATGTGTCGAGCAGAAGACCTTCTTGGCGAGGAAGCTCACGCACTTCCCCCATGTCCTCCACGTGTCCCCCACGCAGGGACACGTCATCAGGCAACTACCCACCTCCGAAAGAGTCGGTCAACCCACCTTCCGAAGATCATGGGGTAGTTGATCTAGGCTGAAGACCATGTGCTGGTCTTCACTACGCCACGTAAGCCCTGACAGTTACTTGGGTTGGGTCTGGCAGTCTGATCCAATACAATGTAACTGTTGGCCCTGCGCTGGGGGCACACTATAAATACCCTCTTTCACTAGAGGGTCGGGTATCTTATTCTCTACACCTATTTCTTTGTACTTGCTCTCTCTCTCTCTCTCTCTCTCTCTCTCTCTCATCCTTTACTCACTTAAGCATCGTAGTGTCTTGCAGGTACACCCTCTCTTTCTCCATAACTCCGGTGAAAGCAGCAACCCAACGACGCGTGGCAGGCCATTGATCCTTTCTGATCAGGTAAGGTGAGGTACCAAAAGTGAAAGGTAGCCGATCCAAACCCTTGTACTCCTATTTTATCAATTCACTACATTTGGTGCTTTTATTGTCCTCCCTATGGCTGAAAACACATGCATGAAAACCATGGAAAGCTCCATCTCAAAAATCAGTAAGGCACTGCAAAGGCTTCTAGACAATTATGACCAGCGGCATAACGAGTATTCTCAATACTGTCACTTAGACCAAGCTCGTTTTGAGCGTGTGGAAAACCAACTGAGCACCCTCCATGCTAACCAGAATTTCACCAGCAGCACCTCACATCATCTGTCGCCATAGCCACCATTTCAGGTCTGTCACATTAAATTATATTTCTCTCATTTTGATGGTTATGACATGATGAATTGGATCTTTAAGGTAGAACAATTTTTTGATTATTATGATACACCAAACAATCATCATCTTACTATTGCAACCGTTCATATGGAAAATCACGTTGTACTGTGGTTTCAGATGATTTCTTGCAACCAACCTTTTTAGTTTTGGGCCTTGTTCACTAAGGCCTTGGAATTGGAATTTGGTTCATCACTGTATGAAGCAGCTAGGCCCAACCTTTTCAAATTGACCCAACAAACCACCGTCACTGATTACTACTCTGCATTTTCCGTGTTAGCCAACTGATTTGAAGGATTGAGTCTTGAAGCCACACTTGATTGCTTCATCATTGGTTTGAAAATCGATATCAAACGGGATGTCATTGCCTAGATGTCGCTATCTCTATCGCGAGCTTACGCATTAGCCACTATTTAAATACAAATATTCACCACTGGCACAAATTAAACCTCCATATACCACATCTACCAAATCCTACCATTTTCCTTCTCCAACAAATAGAACCAAAAATTCACTACCACTATCGTTACTCCCTACCCCCAAATCCACCACCCCAACTACAAAAAGCCACCCTATCAAAAACATCACCCGTGCCGATATGCAACTCTGCCGCTAAAAAGGGTTGTGTTATTACTGTGACGAACGGTTTTCTCTTAACCATAAATGTCTTAATCGCCATTATTTCTTATTCGAACTTGAAGATAAGGAATCGGAACCACCGCCGTCGCCTTTACCTACCATTGAACCAGAATCACCTCCTACCGTAGTGTTACAGCACCATATGTCTTTGAATGCATTGAATGGTTCTGTTGGTATGAGCACCATGTGATTCAAAAGGAAGATTCAATGCATTGTAGTGACCATGTTATTGGATAGTGAAAGCTCTGATAACTGTCTCTTGCCTCGAATTGCTCAAACTTTGCAATTATCGATCCAATCAACTGCTCAATTTCAAGTGATGGTTGGAAATGGAAATTCTTTGACTACTATGGGCTACATTGCATATTTCCCAATGGCTATTCAGGGTAACACATTACACATCCCTGCTTACTTATTACTTATTTCTGAGATTTTTTTACTAAAATGCCATGATTTGAAATAGTATGTACCAAATTGCAACTAGTTGAAAAAAATATACCAAAATGCCACAACTTTTGTTAGGGCTCGTCTAATGGAGGGACGAACCTAAGAAGAAGAATTCCACGTTGAATGGGTTCGGTCAACCATTGGCCGAACCATTGAAGGCCCAATTTTTTTTTTTATAAAAAATATAAATATATAAATTTTATTATATTTAATTGTTTTTTAAATATTAAAAACTATTTTGATGATTTAAAATATTTATTAACTTATATAATATAAATTAATTTAAACGGGTCGGTTTGACGGGCCTGCTACATTCGGACATTTTCTACGCATATGACCAATTTCTCGACAAACCCCGCATCTTCTCTTTTCTTTCTCAAGACCGTCCATTTCGATTCTAATTCTTGTACAATTTGGACGCCCTTTCTTATTCCTCCGCATTGTCTCGTCATGGCAAAGAGTAAATCCTTCATATGTTGGCCAATTTTTGTGGTGTGGAAGTCCAAGGAAGCTTTCGTTGTAGACTTTGAATACACATAGAACCTTGAAAACATCTGGTATGTGCATATTGTGGTCCTGCCGTATACTAACATGTGTTGCGATTACATGGGAGCAAGGTAAATGAAATGCTTGAAACCTCCCACAATCGCACCACCCCCTCCTAAGATCAACGCTAAAATCACCTCATGGTCGGCCATTGTGTTGATTAATCCTTTCGGCAACCATAAAACAGAATCTCTCGCGATCAAATTTGATGACATTATGGCTGCTAGATTTACTCGCTTCATCGGTCATTCCCTTATTACAGTTATCCGTGAAAGTTTGACTAGATGCCAATAGTTTTTTCCAATCGTGTCCTCGTTTTCTAAACAACGATCCCAGACGATAGAATGTTGACTTAACCAATGCATTAATAGGAAGGTTTCGGGTAGCCTTAAGTATCGAGTTCATAGCTTCGGCCAAATTTGTTGTCATGTGTCACCACTGTTGTCCTCTGTCAAATGCCCTCGACCACTTCTCTCTAGGAATACTGTTTATCCACTCCAAAGTTGCTTTATTTGTTCTTCGTATTTCGCCCCGGTAGTAGTTTAATGTTTCCTTCGTTAATGCATATCCTGTAGGAAAAATGTAAAGTAAAAATGTTCATTAAAACATATGAAAATCAATTAGTCAATAAATATTTATTGAAACATTAACACATGAATATGTAGGCATATCCATGTTAACAACTGTTTTCCGTAGTTCTTTGTCTCTGAACTCACGCATGAAGTTTTGCGCAATGTGTCTGATACAGTAAACATGTGAAGATTAAGAAATTGCCACCCATTTTTAGGATCATCGTAGCACTCTTGATTGATGGATGTCGGTCGGATATGAGACACAGATTGGCCTGGGGGATCACATTCAGTCTCAAATTCTTGAGAAAGAAACTCCAACCATCCTTTGTCTCACCTTCAACCAATATGAATGCTATCGGAAAAATGTTAATATTTCCATCTTGTGCCATAGCCATCTATAAAGTCCCTTTGTACTTGTCGTACAACCATGTTCCGTCAATTTACACAATATGTTTACAGTAAGTAAAACCACAGATACATGGTTCAAATGCCCAGTAAGTAAAACATAAAGCTTGTGTTAAAATTGTTTGACTACAATATATATTAGCACAACTAAGACAAAACGCATCGCCATCCGATGAGGAGAACCTTATGCATGCAAAAAATTATATATTACTACTCATAGCTAATGTATTGATGCCTGACCAGAGCCATAACTATTTACATTCTTCTTAGATACCCCTAGTAGGAGATTTAGATAAATGCAATAGATATAGTTGGGGTTTTGCTTGTTTAGCTACATTATATAGGCATATGTGTAAAGCATGTAGGATAGAGGTAAAAAGTATTGGAGGATGCGTTCTTCTACTCAGTATTGAGGCATGATATCTACCAAAGAGTTCTATCAGGTATGTAAAATAGAAATCATATCATAAATAATATTTTGTAACTTAGCCAACATAAGGACCTCGCTGGCGAGTAATCTGTAAGTACTTCTGTAAACACTATCTGATCTTTGAGGTCTGTTCTGATACTGATGAGCGGAAAGTTTTATTTGAATTAGAGCATTTTGAGGTTAAAAGATCATCAAAAGAAAGTGGTACATCAGTGCTAGATTGGGAGAGCATACAGAAGCTGAAATATACATGGGCTGTTGCACAAGAAACCATGAGACTATACTCAGCTGCACCGGGAGCATTCAGAGAGGCGAAAACAGATATCACCTATGAAGGCTTTACAATTCCAAAGGGTTGGAAGATAACTTACGAAGTTTTACACTGTCAACCTATCACAGTCAGTTATATGTCTGGCTTATGATTACTACTTTGTTGATTGACATGATTTAGTATTATATTTGCTACTAAAATGTTTATGAACTTAACTTTAACAGATATTTTGGGCGTTTATTGGAACAAATAAGAATCCGAAATGCTTTGATGAGCCGGAAAGTTTTGATCCTTCAAGATTTGAAGGGAATAATGTTCATGCACCATACAGTTATGTACCCTTTGGAGCAGGACCAAGATCTTGTCCTGGAAAGGACTATACGCGGTTTGCGATTCTCACATTCATTCACAATCTTGTGACAAAGTTCAAATGGGAAGTTATAACTCCTGATGAGAAAGTGTCTGGTGCTTTGATACCTATCCCTGTTGAGGGAGTTCCTATCAGTCTTTATAAATTGTAACTTTTCATGTGGATATTAAGTATGTATGTTTGGTTCTGCACTGAAAATAATGAATGTATATGACAGAGTTAGAAAAAATTGTACAAGTAATTGTGTCATGAAATGTAAGGTAATGAAATGAATTCAACATGTACATCGCATTGTGTCAAAGGTCTAACTATTTTGCAACTCTTTAGGAAGATACTTAAACTCTCTCTCTTCAAATTATAAAGTTAAATTTTTACTATTAAAAGAACACTTCATGTTTAATCTTTAATCAAATCACACGTGTCTTTGGTCCCTATTAACATCAAGAAGAAAAAAAAACCTCAAGTAAGATTAGAAATGAGTCAAGATGAGTTAAATTTAATTTGGCTAAATTCGATAAAAATTAGATAATCTTAAAACTCAACTTTAGTTTGTCACGATTTTTTTTCAACTTAAATTTAGTTTGATTAAAGATTATAAACAACTCAATTTGATTTGGTAGCTAAAATGGGAATTTTTTAATGCACTCTAGGTAGTTTTTAGGCACTCATAAAATTATTTAAATGTTCCTAAATTTTGGAGATACATTTCCGAACACATATATTTCTGAATAAACGTTAATATATTTCGAAAATACATTATTATGAATGAGAGGGGCAAAGAAATTATAGTAACTTATTCACATGATAAGAAATGACAGGTGGCAATTGATCCATAATGTAAGGATCCAAGACATGGAACGGGGCCTAAGATCCCTAACAAAAAATACACTTAGCACTTTGTTAAATAGGGCAATAATTGGTAATGATTGGGGAGGAATCTTAGTGGAAACCTGACTCTCTTCTCTCTTCAAGCTTCTATGTTTTTCTATATATGTCATTAAATTACTTTTTTCCTTATTGTGAATGGCTTAGCCATATATACTCCTAATTTCAAGCTGCAATGATGCATTGAATTAGTTATACCATTTACAGTGCCAATTCTACTTTTGTATTCCAGGAATGGATTTGCTATCTTTGAGTTTTCATGCCTTTGCTACCTTTGTCTTTATTTCTCTCTAACCAACCATACTCTCATACTAAAATAGTTTATTTTATTTATTTATTTTTAACCACTTTACATTAAAGGTACCAAAGGTACTGTTCTGGATTGAGCTGAGACCTGCCCCTCAGTCGGGCAGGCCCAATCCAATGTTATGCTGATGAGGCCTAACAAAACTCAATCCTCCTCCGTCAGGCACAGGCCTCAACCAGACACATGCGTCGAGCAGAAGACCTTCTTGACGAGGAAGTTCACGCACTTCTCCCACGTCCTCCACGTGTCCCCCACGCCGGGACACGTCATCAGGCAACTACCCACCTCCGAAAGAGTCGGTCAACCCACCTTCCAAAGATCATGGGACAATTGATCTAGGGTGAAGACCGTGTGCTGGTCTTCACTACGCCACGTAAGCCCTGGCAGTTACTTGGGTTGGATCTGGCAGTCTGACCCAATACAATGTAATCGTTGCCCTGCGCTAGGGGCACACTATAAATACCCTCTTTCACTAAAGGGTCGGGTATCTTATTCTCTACACCTATTTTTCTGTATTTTCTCTCTCTCTCTCTCTGATCCTTTACTCACTTAAGCATCGGAGTGCCTTGCAGGTACACCCCCTCTTTCTCCATAACTCCGGTGAAAGCAGCAACCCAATGACGCGTAGCAAGCCATTGATCCTTTCTGATCAGGTAAGGTGAGGTACCAAAAGTGAAAGGTAGCCAATCCAAACCCTTGTATTCCTGTTTTATCAATTCACTACATTTGGTACTTTTATTGTCCTCCTTATGGCTGAAAACACATGCATGAAAACCATGGAAAGCTCCATCTCAAAAATCAGTAAGGCACTGCAAAGGCTTCTAGACGATTATGACCAGCGGCATAACGAGTATTCTCAACACTGTCACTTAGACCAAGCTCGTTTTGAGTGTGTGGAAAACCAACTGAGCACCCTTCATGCTAACCAGAATTTCACCAGCAGCACCTCACATCATCTTCCGCCACATCCACCATTGCAGGTCTGTCACATTAAATTATATTTCTCTTGTTTTGATGGTTATGACATGATGAATTGGATCTTTAAGATAGAACAATTTTTTTATTATTATGATACACCAGACAATTATCGTCTTACTATTGCAACCGTTCATATGGAAAATCACGTTGTACTGTGGTTTCAGATGATTTCTTACAACCAACCTTTTTAGTTTTGGGCCTTGTTCACTAAGGCCTTGGAATTGGAATTTGGATCATCACTGTACGAAGCAGCTAGGCCCAACCTTTTCAAATTGACCCAACAAACCACTATCACTGATTACTACTCTGCATTTGCCGTGTTAGCCAACTGATTTGAAGGATTGAGTCTTGAAGCCACACTTGATTGCTTCATCATTGATTTGAAAATCGATATCAAACGGGATGTCATTGCCTAGATGTCATTATCTCTATCGCGAGCTTACGCATTAGCCACTATTTGAATACAAATATTCACCACTGGCACAAATTAAACCTCCATATACCACATCTACCGAATCCTACCATTTTCCTTCTCTAACAAATAGAACCAAAAATTCACTACCACTACCGTTACTCCCTACCCCCAAATCCACCACCCCAACTACAAAAAACCACCCTATCATAAACATCACTCGTGCCGATATACAACTCTACCGCTAAAAAGGATTGTGTTATTACTGTGACGAATGGTTTTCTCTTAACCATAAATGTCTTAATCGCCATTATTTCTTATTCGAACTTGAAGATAAGGAATCGTAACCACCACTGTCACCTTTAGCTACCACTGAACCAGAATCACCTCCTACTATGGTGTTAGAGCATCATATGTCTTCGAATGCATTGAATGGTTCTGTTGGTATGAGCACCAATAGATTCAAAAGGAAGATTCGATGCATTGTAGTGACCATGTTATTGGATAGTGAAAGCTCTGATAACTGTCTCCTGCCTCGAATTGATCAAACTTTGCAATTATCGATCCAATCAACTACTCAATTTCAAGTGATGGTTGGAAATGGAAATTCTTTGACTACTATGGGCTACATTGCATATTTCCCAATGGCTATTCAGGGTAACACATTACACATCCCTGCTTACTTATTACTTATTTCTAAGATTTTTTTACTAAAATGCCATGATTTGAAATAGTATGTACCAAATTGCAACTAGTTTAAAAAAATATACCAGAATGCCACAACTTTTATTAGGGCTCG